CGAGTTTATTTTACGAGAAAAACCGAACATAGCTTGGTATATATAGCATACATACATACATATATATCAAGTTACATATGTTAATAAATATTATTAGTTTATTGCTTACGTCTTATCTTACCTTCGTGTAATTAAAAAATTTTATTAACAAACAAAAATATCAAGCAAATCAAGCATTTATTTATGAAAATTTCCAACAAACCCCTTCTGCTTAAGGGGTTTATCCACTTGTCATTTTTATGTACATATATTCAAGAATATTCTCTAAAAATTTCAAGTTGATCCGACTAATAGTTTCGGAGATACAACCTTGAAAAGGTGGACGCTCGAGGTCAGGTATAAGCTAAGGGCGCAGTAATTAAAACTTTAAACGCGTTTATCTCAAAACCGTGAACCGTGAAACCGTTTTCAGAGTAGGTGAGGAAAATTTCTTTCAAACCGCTAAACCGATGGGTTTGAAATTTTCACACGACTTACTCAGATATATTTTTCAAGTAATGATCAAAGGAATAGGTTTTGGACAATCATTTCGATTTTTTAAGCCACTTTGAAGTGAAAAATTTTCATGAAAAACTTACTTTTTTTTTTAAACGCTGCCATTTTGTCAAAAATCAAAATTTTAACTACACCTTCGATCATTACCTGTATTTATTTATCACAAAACTAAATATTTTTGGTGTTTGGTTTTCAGATAATTTGGACCAGAGATATCTTGCTCACCGCCAAGCACTTTTTTTGGACGTCTCTTCGCAGATCATCTACAGGAGCTAGCCGATGCAATATTTTTTTTTAAATAAACCGCTGATTGTTAAAGTACATTAAATTCTGTTTAAGTACATTTTTTCCATTAATGTATATAATAAAATGCCTCTTTGGAAAAAATTCACAAAAAAACGCGTTTTTTCTGCCTCGCAAGTGGATATAACCAATTAATAAATCAGTAAGCAGGATTGTATATAATGTTTATGTAAGCAACGGCGCAAACATAAAAAAACTTATATCATAAAAAAAAACGAAAAAACAAAATCGAAGTAAGAGAAAAAAACATACATACATATTTGCAAATTACCTTTCACCTCGATACATATTTTTAATATACAAGTGTGTTATATCAACAACATACAAAGTGCATTTGGTAACATATTTACTTGTACCATACATACATTTGTACATACATATAATTAAACGACAAACAATCTGCCAGTGACACTGGGTACTGCTAAAAAAAAACCTACGTTTTTTCCAAAATGTTACAACTAAGCGAAAAAACATCAAGATAAGGAAAAAATTTAAAAGGTCATAAAAAAAACTGACACATATGAACGCCAAACTCTTTGAGGGTTTTACTATACTGACCTAGTACCATCACCATGACTTGGAATTTCTCACTCCCCAGATTAGCTGTTGTACTGTGTTATTAATACCGATAAATGCTTAGTGTTAAAACGCACAAAATATCTCAACAACAACAAAAAAAAGTTCAAGTATTAACTCGCAATATGTTCCGACAATACGCCATAAGTTTAACAAAACAATAAGAGGGGATTGCATAAACCAGGGGTGGACATATTAGCCCTCAGTGACATTTTGCCCGTTCGGGCATGAAGAGGGATGTGTGAGCAACGTATTTTACCACTCCAAATTTACAAATGAGAGCAATGTATTTTACCACACCATGTCTACAAATGAGAGCGCGCATATATGGGAAGTTGCACTGTGGGTAATAACTGTAAAATTGCCTAACAATTTTAAGTTTTTTTGTAACTACTATGTAACCTATTTCTTATTTTATGTTTGTTTAATTTCATTATTGAAAAAAATTGCTCACAAGTGTAGGTGCTTCCAAACATACAGGGACTCACACGTCTAACCGGATGCGTGCATTGCCAGTGATGGCACCATCCAATCATATAGTAAAAATCTTAAGAATGATACATATGATACATCACATTAAAGGAAAAATCTTCTATTTTATTTTTGGAAACTTAAAAATAGTAATAAATTTATTCACTGCGTAAAACTTAGAGAAATAATTCGCAACATACAAAATTTATTTACGATGTACACAATTCGTTACCAAGAAATTCGAAATTGATAACCTTAAATCGTAAAATCTTGAAAGTGTTTTCCCACGACTTAACCATCGTGTTTCTGTGTAATATGGTATGTCCCCATAATCACACTCCATACTTTCGAGAAATTCTTTAAACTGACGATGATTGAGGCCATGAGATCTCACTTAATAGACACATTTAACGACAACAACCATTACATGTGCAAAAGATAACGACTTGGCACAAAGGGTTTCCTGATTGTCCAAGCAATGTACCGCAATGAAGTCGTTATACTTTTCTAGACTAAATTTGCTTTTAAGTCACACCACACTATGCCACTACTATGCACTTTGCTCCAGTCTAAGCCCTTATCAGCAACGCAATTCATAACGGCATTAAAAATTACTTCTCCTGTTGTAGTTCCTTTCATAAGTATTAGGTCCAGCAACTCTTCTGTGATATAGAACTCAATATCTGTGCCCCGAATGAACACAGCCAAATGTGCCATATCGTTTACATCCGTACTCTCGTCTAGAGCCAAAGATACAGAAGTAAAGGTGGAAATTCGGTTCTTTAATTGCCGTTCACTATCACTTGCCATATCCTGTACTCTTCGTGCAATAGTTCGCTGCGATAAGCAGATTTTTTGATACTTCGGAAGATGTTCTTTAGTTAAAGTCCCAGCTGCTTCCAAAATGAATTCTTTAATGAAATCTCCATCGGAAAATGGATGGTTACCTAACACCATTTTAAGTGCAATCGCATAGCTAACATAGATTACACAATTACTATCAACAGAACACTCCTAAAAGTACAATATTCCGATAATACCATATTTGAAACAACTTAATAACCTATAAACCTCTGCTTTAATGTTGTCTAACGACTTTAAGTTCATAAAAAAATTGGTACGGGATTTACCTGTATACCTATCATATTCTTCGTGTTGCGCTTCATAATGCCTTTGAATATTGTATTTTTTCATCTGAACATGTTTTTTTTTTACATAGCAGACATTGTATGCTAACAGAGCTTTCCTGACATAAATACTTTCCTTCCCATTCCACATTAAATGGGTTAATTTTTCTTTTTAAATTTTTGACACTGCTTCCCCTTGCTGATAACATTTCAGCAAATTTAAATTATAATAATTTCAGGTTCTGAACCACTGTTTCTTCAAACGCATAAATATAAATGAATCTTTTGAGAGCGCAGTGTAAATAATTACCCAGTAGCGTAATTACCTAACAACGTAGCGTAGAATATCCAACGACTTGGGGTTTTCCCCGAAACGACTGAGCTGATTGCTCTCTCACAACTCGGGGTTGCCAGGCTCGATATACTGTAGTAATTATATAAAAGTTGTCTTCAGTATACTTAAAATTTTCTGAAAATAACTCAAAATCAGAATCGAATGCTATTATTTATAAATATATAAACTAGTTTTAATAGTTTGATTTCAGTTTTGATGTTTTATATTATGAAAAATTATAATTGAAAAGTTAAATGTGTGGAAAACTACAAATGCGTATTGAGTAATAGCAACATTGTTCGCATGAAAACGAGAACAAAACCCTTGCCGCTTTTAGCGGACGGAGAAGCGGAATACGATGTTTCTGCCATTAAGTGTTTGTATTCTATTTGTGTGCTTAGACACTCTCAATCAATAATGCCATACCGCGCAAATATATTCTTATTTGATAATTTCTTGTATTTTTGAAAATATGTGTTTCCTTTCTATAGCGGGTATTATTATTTTAATACATTTCCAGAGGAAATCTAAGTTGTTTAATATTTCACAAAACAATTATAGAAAAAAACCTCAATTCTTTGAATATTTTGATAAAAAAAAAACCAAACTGAAAATAACACAAAGCATATATTTATATAAGCATTTTCATGTAATGGAACTGCAATATGTTTAAACAAAATATATAATATATTATGGTCACAAGTATCTTTTCTTTTTTATACTTGCAATTATATTTATAGTGCAAATTATGTTTACTTCTTTTTGTTCACATAACTGTACAATTCCGATATGAAGTAAACTTCCGCTCTTTAATTTGTGTACAATATCTGTATCAACCACTCTGCGATGAATATTATGTTACGAAGGAATGTAATTGGTTTTTTTCGCAACTTCTTCTGCCCTTCCCTCCGTAAACTGCTGTTCCCCTCATCTAGCCCTCATCCGCACTTTGCTAACTTTGCGGGCCAAAAATGTGCCCATTCTTGGCATAAACTATGTAAGCAAAGGAACAAATATTAATCAGAATTATAACATAAAAAACAAAACAAGACAGGCAAAAAATACAAACATATATGTATATAGGAGCCTCTCCCTCTTTTCAATTCCGTTTCCGCGCTCTCTTCAGAGCGAACATACATATACAAATATATTTATACATATAATCATATTGAACAAAATCTGAACATATTACATATTAACACATATTAGTACAAACACATATTCTAAGTCCACATTAGCAATTATCTGTCAATACCTCTTGTTCTTTGGCAAACAAAAACAAGCAGGGTTGTGTTGTTGTGATCTCTCTAACGAGCTCTCAACAAAATTTGCAAATGTGTAACTCTAGGTAATTCAATGGTAGTTGTTTATATCACAATATTTACTACTTACAGAAATCGTAAAATGAAGCATAAAGAAATGGATAWCATTTTATTGAAATTTAAAATCGGTATCAATTTATCTGACGATGTTGAGGTGTTAAATAATTATCTATTGTAATTGTGCCTTGGGCCAAATTTTATTATAAAAATGAATATTTCTGGCTTTATTAGTTTATCGATTATTTATAATAAGTATATAAACAAAATAAAACGCTATTAGAATACCTTCCCACAAACAAATTACTCTGACCAAATGTATATACAAAGTAGCTTCTTTATAAAGTTATTATATTAAATATAAAAAGAATATCATTATATATGTGTACGTGTATTTTTGAAAATTTGTAAATGTCTAATTCTAGGTAGTTCAACGGTAGTTGTTTATATCACAATATTTACTACAATAAGTGCAATAAATAGAAAAGTAGAACTATGCTTGTAGCGAGTATTCGCTCAGCAAAGATTTTTCCTGGTCCTGAGTTGCATAAATTACCCCGGCAATAGCAGTGTATTTTACTGGATACTGACAAGTGATTTGCCTTAAATTCTATACAGCCTTCATCGTACACTTCTTGTACCGAATATTCTTGTTGCCATCGACGATTCTTAAAGACCTGTAAAAACAATAATTTTTTTTTCGCATAAAATTTTGTTTATAGAATATAGTATACTCTAAATTGTACCTAAATTTATTTTCAAATTTACTTCTGTGAGCAAAAAATAGAAAGACTTCTTAATTTGAATTTCGCCCAAAATTCCGTTCCTGAAATATTTTTTTTCTAGGTTGGCATGAATGTCAGTGACATTTGCGCCAAATTTCACATCAAAATAATCATTAGTGTTACATTTTGTGTGATTAGACCTGTTGCCGAAATGTTCAAAATGCTGGATATGGCTTTCGGTGATATCTGATACTTGAGAATCGGCGTTTAACAGTCAGCTCCGAAATCACTCAATTTTTTCGAAAAACAGCGTCGCGTTAACCTCTGTGAAACAAAAAGGATGTCATGAAACATTGTTACTGGTGATGTCTTGGATCTATGCTTATGACCTGGAAAGAGACGACCATCGCCCGAATATCGTGGCAAAGGTGAGCCGAAGCTGGAAAAAATACGTGAAATTGACATGATTTGAGATTAACGGGTCATGTTGAATGTTTTCTTCGATTATCAAGGTGTGATGCACACCTAATTCCTTTCGAACAGCCAACTGACAACAAGGAATACTATTTGAGTGTTATGCGTCGTTTGCAAAAAGCTATTGGTAAAAACGGGACGAAATATTGACGACTCTCGGTTTTTGATTATCCGTGTGACTTCTGGTTATTCAGCAAATTTAAAAAAACTCCGGGGAAACCGTTCTGAGGGGGACGACTTAGATTTTGAATAATGAATTTAGAATTTTAAAATTATGAACATTCTTACTATTTTTTGCTCATATAATAACAACGGACATACATTGGAGGAAAATTGTTCTTTCAAAGTAGTTGGATAAATATCACATATATATATATTTTTAATAATTTCCTAAACTTTAGTGACTTTTCTTAATACACGAATCGTAGGCTGTAATAGCAGGAGCCCCAGGTTCGCAGAAACTTTAAAGTTTAAACGAAATATTCCAAAATAAGAAATGTGCTATTCCAGAATACATATTTGAGTTATGTACTTATTTCTGTCAGTGGATCGAAAATAGGTTTTCTAAATTAACAGTTGCGATAAATATAATTAAGTATAACACACCTGTTTAGTATCTTTTTGCGGCGCGCATCCCCTTGTTATAGCGTTTTGTTTTTCGTTTTGCAAATGAAGTGTTGAAATGGTTTTTAAGCACATTGTCGAAAATGGGCAATCAATGATAAAATTTTCAGACCAGTCAAATTTAGTGCACATTGGCGTCAAAACAGTTATATTTTGTATATAATTTTTTTCTACAGTAACGCCGCATTTGAAACATTTTATTGCTGCGACGGAGTCTAAAATAAAAAAAAAATTAAAATTATATCTATTATAAATATATATTAAAAATAAAATTAAATGTTAGACTTCAAAGCAATTGTGTACAGTAATAAAATTTTTTCTTTAAGTACAGTATTCATAACAAAAACAATACTTCAAGAAAGTCTCGTGTATGCCCTTGTCCCGTTATTTGCGCAAGAATACGTGGCGTCATGAGCATACCAAATTATTTAAATGGCTTACAAAAATATTGATACATTATTTTACAAATCGAAAGTTTAATTTGTATGATAGTAAAAATAAAATAATTCGATGAAGGGACCAAAATGTTTTGTTCGTCAACAAAAAACTAAGTTGTGCAAAATTTTAAATCTAGAGTGCAGTTTCGGAAAACAAAGAAGGAATATTGCCTTTGTTTCTACTAGACGTTAGCCCACACTACATGCTAAACTTTGACATTATTTATGTATTATTGGAGGAGTGCAGAAAAAATCTTGGGAATTTACTCAAAATGTTACTTTGCTGAGCACTTCGCAAACTAAAATTTAAAAGGATTCTCTTGTTTCTCATTTCTTTCTGTTTCATTTTACGAACATTTTATACAGTTTAAGCAATGTGTTTGATAGTCTTTTAAATTGTGCAATTTAGATTTATTTTAATATCCATTTAAGAGTTTAATCAAAAACAATTAAAATATTGTAATCTGGCCATCAATTGCAAGGAATTATTCCATAATTATTACAAATTTTCTTAAAACTATACTTTTCATACGAACCTATTCTTGACAGCATCAATAATCCTAGAGTTGAAAGATGTATAATAAATATTTTGTTGAGGTACCAAATCCCGATCTATTACATTAGAAAAATAATTCAATGAATATTAAGAACACCAAATTAAAATAATTTATATGGGACTTTACTAACATTTATATAAAATAAAGTATTTTAATTAACATAAATTATAAAGGGGGTTTTGGACATTTGGTTCTCAATGACGCAATTTTTCTTTCGGAGTTGGTCTTTTTACAGCTGTTACTTAGTTTTCATAATAAAGACTTATTCCATGCCATTGACACGTCGTTACATCATCAAAAAGACAAATGAAGGCGGCCATAATTAATTTTGGTTCGATTAAGATATTGCAACGATACAATCAATTTATTGAAAGATACTTTTGGTGAGCGAGTTAATTTTCATGAAGTAAAAGTACTCTTGAGACTAACTCATTACATGGCTCTTACTTCTAACATACTAGTTAGTACAATAGTATGTTTACTTATTACTAGTTAATAGTTGGTTTGGATACCGATGCATATAATATTATTTGTTTGGGTTTGTTTACATATATTTTGTGTGTTTAGATACATTCCCTTTGTTCTAAGATAAGATTGTTGTGGTATTCAAACATTGTTTTGATGTTTGTTTTTTTAGGATTGTTCGTTTTCTACTGTTCCAAGATAATGTTTAATTAACTGTCCAATGTTTAAGAATTTTGCAGGAGTCAACGTTGTCCGCTGTTTCAAAGGTCTTTTGCGAAACTTGATGAAAGTGTTGTCCATTATTTCAGGGCCTATACTTTTTTTTACCTTGTTCCACTTTTTTAGGAATAGTATTGTCCGCTGTTCGAGCTGCAGAACTAAATAGAGAAGGTACCATCTTCTATAAGAGTGTACAGCTGCTGGCGTATGCCGATGATATTGATATCATTGGCCTCAACACACGCGCCGTTAGTTCTGCTCTCCCCAGACTGGACAGGGAAGCAACACAAATGGGTCTGGCAGTGAATGAGGGCAAGACGAAATATCTCCTGTCATCAAACAAACAGTCGTCGCACTCGCGACTTGGCATTCTCGTCACAGTTGACAGTCATAACTTTGAAGKTGTAGATAATTTTGTCTATCTTGGAACCAGCATAAACACCACCAACAATGTCAGCCTGGAAATAAAACGCAGGATAACTCTTGCGAACAGGTGCTACTTCGGACTGAGTAGGCAATTGAGAAGCAAAGTCCTCTCTCGACAAACAAAATCCAAACTCTATAAGTCACTCATAATTGCCGTCCTGCTATATGGTGCAGAGGCTTGGACGATGTCAACAACGGATGAGTCCACGTTGCGAGTTTTCGAAAGAAAAGTTCTGCGAAAGATTTATGGTCCTTTGCGCGTTGGCCACGGCGAATATCGCATTCGATGGAACAATGAGCTGTACGAGATATACGACGACATTGACAAAGTCAGCGAATTAAAAGACAGCGGCTACGCTGGCTAGGTCA